ATATATATATATATTGTGGTTTAGATTCTGTCGGGAATTTTGACAGTGGAGCGTTCTGCAATTTCTAAAAAAAAGGCCCATATTTGACCTTGACCTTCGTCTTTTCAAGACTTACCAGTATACCAAATATCATCGCAATCCATAAAGGCGTTCTGAAGTTATGCTGACCACAAAGTTGCGGAAACACAGACAGACAGACAGACACACACACACACACAAACACACAGACATACAGACAGACACGCCAAAAACAATACCTCCATTTTTCATGGAGGTAAAAATCAGGGCCGATGTGTATATCACAACTGTTTATGTGACCTATTTTTTTACATTAGCCGGTCCCTGAACATGTATGTCTTTGATGTTCAATCGATAAATTGCTGGCTCATATATATATATTTGATTGATAGACTGATGGATAGTTAGATAGATAGATAAATAGATTGATGGATATAGATGGACATTATTAATGTTGACTTTACACATACCTACAGCTTGTCAATCTTACGAGTTCCGGTGTAACATTTCGGGGTGTGTACCACTCTCGGATAGGTGTAACGGCCAAGCTGATTGTTTGGATGGGAGTGATGAACATAACTGCAGTGAGTAACAAAGTGTTTTTATCTGTAGCCTTTGAAAGCTTTTTAAGTTGCGTTGACAAAACGAACACCATGAAAGTCTAGCAGCTTCTTAGAGTTTGAAAATAACTTATAAAAATAAAAAAATAACACGGTACTTACCTGCAAACTTTTCCTCATACATACCTACAGCTTGTCGACCTGATCAGTTCCTTTGTGACACCTCGCGGTGCGCACCGCTCTCAGCAAAATGTAATCGCGAAGCTGACTGTCTTGATTGGAGCGATGAACTAAATTGCAGTAAGTACATTTCAAATTTTTTGAGATGTTTTATTTATTTCAGATTCTGCACAGCTCAAACATACAGTGAAATAAAACCTGGGTGTTGTTCCCTTCAAAGGTATCCATATTTTTAAGGAGAGACCGACAAAGGCCGGCTTAGATCGGGTCGATCTTTAGACTAGACAATACTATTATAATAGATCATTTTACCTTTTTTGCTTATGTCTTTATTTAGGCCATGTTGATTTGATGATATGGATGGCATACGCGCGCGCATGAATTTTCGTCTGTTTCAAAAACGTTTAAGACCATATTGTAAATCGTACAAAATGATCGTATGTTACAATAAGTAGAAAACGATACTAATGTCATTGAATGAAGACTTGTTTTTGTGCCAAACTCGCACACTCGCACCAGCTTTGGGGTTCCCAGAGAATGAAATTGCCCTTATGTTGCGATATTTCATTAGTTATGTTTGCTAATTGCTCAATGACGATTGTTTGCTTTTCCCCCCAGCATGGGTGCCGTTTAACTTTACTTACGACAACACTTGCACCAGCTGTACCGGTGAGCGTTTTGTAAGGCCCAGCAGCTACACCTACGGCGGTCGGATTCTCCACGTCGGTGTTGTTTTGTGTTCATCGACTCAGTACAAGATATTTCTGAGTGACAACCTGATCGGGACGTTCCGGAACATTGGTGACACGTCAGGACACGGTGAGGATCACTGTGAGCTTGTTGGAGCTTCATCAGATCCTCCGTCCTCGTCACTGGATCCGGATTATCGCACCTGTAGTGGAACAGGTACGTTGACGTGGCTATTTGAATATTCGTAGCGGTAGCGTTAAATCATCTATCACGTATTTAGCACCGACGTATAGTACCTTTTGTGCTTTCTTTTGTATATTTACAAAACAAAATGTACTTGCTGTGTTTGTCACATTCATCATGTTTGTCACATTAAGCATTAATCAATGGACGTTAGTTATATAAAGAACACGAAGGTGTTTGCATCATGGAAGATAAAAAGTAATGATTTTGTGAATTTCTTTAATTTGTGATAGGTTATTGGCGCTCTTATCGTGGACGCGATTTTATGTATGGATCAATCGGTTATAATTCCGGATCCGGATGGTGGAGTAGTAGTCGACGGTCTTATGGACGCTGGTACAGATGTGGTGTTACTATCCCTGAAGGTAACATCTTTATTATGTTACCGAAAGAAAACATGTAGTTTTTTCTACCTTTCCTCTTCTTCCGTTCCAAACACTGACCTCTGAGCTGGTCAATGACCTGATTTGTTGACGTATGTCACCATGATAACTGCTGCTGGGTTATACAATGTTGCAAATTTATAGTTGGAGGGATTTAGACTCATGCCCGACCATATATATCAATGTATTTGAGTAAGAATTAAAGCAGACCATATGCGAAGGCAAATATTATGCATTTTTCTTTGCAAAGTACCCAAAGTTTTCTTTGCAATATATATAAATGTAAATGTAAATTTTATTTTATTGTCAAATAGGACCATTTAGCTCTGATAGTGTTCAGTGGCAACATGCAGTTGAACTCATTTTCATTTAAAAATTATCTAATAATTGTTTGCCTTTATTCCTTTCAAGGTCGTAACGAAAGTGACTGGAATTGTCAATTTAGTACAGATCAGTGCAACTCCATTACGCGTGGTACAGGTTCATTTGAATGGAGACGAAGGGCTTATAGTACTCCATCATCGTCAACAGGGCCGTCAGCAGACCATACGGATGGATATGGTACGTTAACGTCCATATTTCTATCGTTGAAGAGATTCATTTGTCACGTATAGTTACAGTTACTAGAGAATTTTTTCACCAGTGACAAGTTTTTGAGGGGTAAGAGTACTAGACTTCAAATTTTCGATGACTATCAATTCATCTTGTTAACGGAGTGGCCTTGTCTGGCGAGAGTACGGGGTGGGGTGAGGATGGTGGGTATTGGAGGGCCCGGCAGAACGATGCAAGTATCGGGCCTGGTCTCGTGCTCTCGCCAGACTAGGCTACTCCGTTAACAAGATGGATTGATACTCACTGATAGTTTGATAGTCACTGATGAAAGAATTCTCTAGTGACATATTTCTATCGTTTTGAAGTTTCAGGTATTCAGTGTATTAGGAACGTTTTTTTTTCTAGCAGAAGCAAAGAGAAATACACATATTGAACTCGGGGTGTCTTGTGACATGTCTCTTCTTGTTTGTAGGGTACTATATGTACACGGATGCTAGATTTGGTTTTCCCAACGCAACTGCCAGTTTGAAGTTGCCGATCATAACCTCCGACGGTCAGCACTGCCTGCGGTGGTTCTACCACATGTACGGGTCTGACATGGGGACACTGAACGTCTATGTCTCCCAACCTCAGTATTCTCAGATGTTGATATGGACAAGGTCTGGAAACCAAGGAAATGTGTGGTGGCCAGCGTCAATTTCTATCTTCGTGAATGCAAGTTTGTTTCAGGTGGGTTGCACTATGGTTATGATAACGACTATCTGCAATATTTGCAATTCAGCATTTGCAGTTTTCAGCGTAGACTTGATTATATTATGCAAATATATAGGCGACAAACGACCTGACATAAAAAATGTTTTTGTAATGATATACGTACTATTATCACAATCCATTTGTTTATGCTTTCTTCATAAAAATATATTACAGGTTCAGTTTGAAGGTGTCAGAGGATCTGGATACACCAGTGACATGGCAATCGATGACATTGATCTGACATCTGGTCCCTGCAGTAAGAGTTTTCGTCTTATTTCTTGTGCTTTTTTTTTAAATTTTTCCAACAATATTTGCCACAGATTTTTTTTATAATCATGCAAAAATAATGTTCCCTAATCATTTTATTTCCTGTATAGGATTCTCGTGTTTTTGCGTGAACAACAACAACGCAAAACGCTTAGAACAAATCTACAGTTAGTCCAACTGCCTGGATTAGTCAGGCGAGGTAACTTTTTTTACAACTATGTTCATTATACATCATACACGTTGATACATGATAGTATGACATTACTAATTATCACTGCAGCTTGTCACTCTGACCAGTTCCAGTGTGGTGGTTCTCTCTGTGTACCTCTGTCGGCAAAGTGTAACGGTCATGCTGACTGTCCAGATTGGAGTGACGAAGCAAACTGCAGTAAGTATACGCACTCATAATGACCAATTCTCGTTGTTACTTCAGTCTGTGAAGGACATTGTCAAGGTCACCTTCATTTGCTGTAATGCTTGATATAGTTGCGTTTTTGTTTTCTCATCATTTTGATATGTTTGTTTGAATTTGGTAGGTAATGTTTGATATTAAGGTTATTAATAATGAGATATGGGAAGCTGGCGAACTTTTAATTAGTCATAGTCATTATCATGATACACTACCGGTATACCGTGTGATACGAAACTTGTGTGTGTACCGCCAATTGGCGTTATATCGGCAATAAAGATGTTGATACAGACGTTGATGTTTTTACGCCTTGGGCTGGTTATACCGACTAAAATATAGAAAAACACAGTCCGATTACATAGTATATAACATACATATGCCCACAGTAGGAATGTTAGATTTTCCTATTTAATAATCTGTTTTTCAAGCATTGCAACGTAGGTCCATCGCTTTGTTTTGTCTACGAATTTTAACCGTAAATAAGGCCATGTTGATTTTATTATATGCGCATACATTTTTGCCTGTTTCCAAAAAAGAAATAACCACAATGTGAATCGTAAAAAATGAGCAAACATATGTCGTATGTTGCAAAAAACAATATTGGAAAACGATACTTATGTCATAGAATGCCGAAATCAATTATGGAAAAGAAGACAATGTGAAGAAATAAAAAAAAATGAAGTTATTATTAATTTAATTACTATTCGCCAAACCATACTCTGTGTCATTTGTTCAACCCTTACAGTGATCACTAGATTTCATAATAAAGGAAACGTTTTTGCCAACCTTTTTTTAGGGGGGGGGGGGGGTCCCAGAGGATGTCATCCGTATAATCAAATCAACATGGCCTAATGAAAATCCGTAAAAATTTTTCTATAAGTTTTTATTTCTCATTAGCTTATTCAATTGAAGACCTTGAGGAGGGCTTGAGATGTGACTTTCAAGAAGATCATTGCAATTTTACGAGAACGTCGGGAGGTTTTCAGTGGATTCGACAATCTGGTGGCACCCCATCATTTTCTACAGGACCTTTAGGAGATAATACAGACGGATCGGGTATGTCAACAGTTGTATTGGCAATTGTTATTACCTTGTTGTGTTCAAATATATCATCCTATTTAGTTCTAAATGTTAGCTAGGAACAATATAGCTAGCTCAAGGATCTTAAATGGGAATACGTAAAGCGCTATATATGGTACAGATAATACTTTGAGATATTCTTATAGATCATCGGATCTTAATCCTTTAGAGTTCATTATTTATCCAGGAAATGCCTTGTTAACTCCAGGCTTTATCTGTTAACCTGCTTAATTTCCAGGTTTTTACATGTACACGGAAGCTAGTAGCGGTTTTACCGGTGCGACGGCAAGTCTGACGTTACCCATTATCGGCTCTACCGGTCAGCACTGCCTGCGGTGGTTCTATCACATGTATGGGTGGACTATGGGAACTCTGAACGTCTATGTCTCCCAACCTGATCAATCTGACATGTTATTGTGGACAAGGTCTGGAGACAAAGGAAATCTGTGGTTGCCGGCCTCAACATCTATTTCCATTAATGCTGCAGTATTTCAGGCGAGTGACATGATGTACTGAAGTATTAAAGACAAAGATAACCAAGATCATAAAAACTCAATTTCAGCAATGTCAATGTTTTATGAACATTGTTCTACGTCATGCTTCCTTTGCGTATATGTGATAAAATATGTAAGATAATTATACTAATTAATTTATGTAATCATTTTACAGGTTCGGTTTGAAGGTGTAAGAGGATCAAGCATTACCAGTGACATGGCCATTGATGACATTGCTCTCAGATCTGGTCCCTGCAGTAAGACCAGTTTTTTTTTTCTTCCTGTGATTACAACATTACCTTCTACCCCTTTTTTAATGCACATAACTAGATGTCTGCTTCTTTACAGTGTCAGCACATTATTTTCGGAAATCAAAAGATAAATCATATACCTGCATATATTTAATGGATTCATTTTTAAGTCCAAATAGAATAATCTCTAATTTTCATTCGGACTCAAATTAATCTCTGAGAAAGTTTATTATATCTTGAAAGTTATTTGTATCTAATGAAATGCCCTTTCCTTTTGAAATATTTTTTATCTTGTTCGTTTCTTTAGCCTCTTGCACCGCGAACCAGTTTGCCTGCTTGGATGGAAGTTGTATTTCTATCAACCTGACGTGCGATGGTAATTCTGACTGCGCTGATGGAAGTGATGAGGTGTCTTGTAGTAAGTGATTTCAACTTGAAATGGGTGTTGCATTGACTGGTTGCTGTTGTTCGTTGGAATATCTTTTGTTAAATATATATTATATTATATTATATTATATTATATTATATTATATTATATTATATTATATTATATTATATTATATTATATTATATTATATTATATTATATTATATTATATTATACTTTATTGACCACAATCCAGGTACATGGCAGCGTATAAAATCGCTGAATTACGCACTCAGGCTTTAAAAACAGGCTAAACTAACAAAGGGCATTGACAGACTAGGTACAAACATAAACAAAACTGACTATAAACAGTTATATATATTCTTGTGTACATCATTTTGTCCTTTAATTATTGGATGCATACCTTATTTAACATGTCAGAAATTTGTATTTCATCTTAGCTATAAAAATAGTGCTAGATGTCTTCCCACACATTGCGTAGACACACTCTCTACAGATGAGGCTTTGCAGTATTACTCGTAGTAGATAAAAAATGATGAATTTGACTTTTGACATTAAATTCATAGGCAAACGAATAGGCAACCGTGATGTTATCAATAACTTTTAACCATGTCGACATTGCGGAAAAACTCGAGTGTTCCTCTAAATCTACTTTTCTTCACTTTAGGATGTGAGACAATTCAGTACAACCGTTGCATGGGCCTGTCATACAACCAGACATCATTCCCAAACATCTTTCGGTGGCCGTCTCAAACAGTTGCTCTGCAGAATGCCCAATTATTGTTTTCACAATACGATCGCATTCGGGACTGTCATTGGGGCCTTCAAACCTTCTTGTGTTCACTTTTCTTCCCCAGATGTACGTCTAATGGACAAATGTAAGTAGTCCAGAAAAGTTATGATGTTGAGAACTTAATGGTAGCGCACCAGGGAACAAAGACAACACTGTGCCATCGCTAAAACATAATTTATGCTAATTTGGTGACGTCAGTGGTCAAAATCCAAGATGGCGGACCATATAAACAAATCAGGTATATCCCGACTATTTTCCATAACATTTTACCACTACTTCAATTTCTTTTTACATAAAAGGTTCATTTGAACCTCTTTAGTCCATTTTTATTTGCGAAAATTCAAGATTGACGATCCCAAAATGGCGGATAGTTTTAATTTTTATGATTTATTTTACTAGTACACCATTCATCTAGTAGTACACCATCCATGTGGCCACACGAGTTCTGAGGGGGGACGAATGAGCGTTAAGTTGTGAATATGGATCGTAATATTATATTTTTATAATCAACAAGTGTTTGCAAAATGGCATTCTTGCGTAATACAGCAGAGCAATGCTTATACCTCATGTTCTGGACATGCTAGGGTCAATTTGTTCGTGGAAGAAAGACTTTGATATCGTTAACGAGTAATATCGGTCTGAAACCCTTTATTTACCAGGACGGTTATACGTTGGCACTTTATAACTGATAGGTTCTCGTGATTTTTTGGATACTTAGCTTACTTAAGTAATTATCCAAATCATTAAATTCTTTCTCATCCTCTCTCTCTCTCTCTCTTTGTCCCTTTCTTTTCTCTCTCTCTCTGACTGTGCCTCTGTTAGTCAAATAACACCATTATTGTTTTTTACTTTACAGTCATCCATGCCAATCACTTTGTAACGAGATCAACGCTACATGTAGCGGACGAGCCCTTGCCCTAAACCTGCAATGGTACGATTCAATCTGTGAAATTCTTCCCGAGACTAACTGTTCTGTTCCGAATGGTAAGTTACGTTTCGTGATAAATGAAAACACTTATAATTCCACACTTAAAGTGTCATTCAGTGTATTTTTCATGTACTTTGTTTCTTTGTACAGTGTTAAAAGTAAACATATGTCACATAATATGCTATTGGCGTGGTGTTATTGCATGCACATGAATGAAGGCAAAAGGTCTGACCAAGTTCCCTTTTTTAAGATTAATGGCTACAAACCAACATCTTAAGCAACTTCACCGTTGTCAAGTTTTACGCAATTGACTTTGCCTTTTCTTGTTTTTCAAAAAGGCGTATTCGGTGCGTATTTATCATGAAAACGGACCAGCGGATGGCTATAGATACACACCGCAACCATAAAATGCCAAATCCAGAAGTCTGTTTATGATAATCATGGAATTGTATTATCTTTTAGTAATTCCATCGCAGGGATGTGAAAACACAACTGAACTAACGGGCTTCTCAGGCAATTTTACGTCCCCGGGTTACCCTGGCAACTACCCTAACAACGCCCGCTGTTCCTGGCTGATAACTGTGAGCCCTGACAAGATCGTGGTCATCAGGTAAAGGGTTAATGATGTACTTAGGTCACATCATTCGGTGGTTAAAGGAATCGGACCAGGTGGTTTTTCTTAGCATAATCACTGGCAAAAAAGTTGATAATCCTAGAAAGGGTCATTACGTACATTAGCCAATTGAAACTCACATTGTAACTGAATTTAGAAAAAGGGTATTTTTGGCTATTAGTACATACATTTATAACCAATTGGAAAGATTGTGTCTGGTGTATTTTAATGAATTATAATCGTCAACAATTCAACTATTTTCACACAGCTCAATCATATCTGTTTTAGTATCTGTATAGCCGGTATAACCGCCCTTTGCGAAACGTTGCGATCAGGCGGCGCGGCAGCAGCTGGATTTTTTTAACGGTGTCGCTCAATGCAAGGCCAATTATTTTTGGCCACTTCTAGGCATAGAGCTACAGGTACTTAAGTGAGTATAATGTAGTTATGTCAGGAGATGGCGATGGACCTTTGTTTTGAAGCTTTGTGGATTGTAGTCGGACGGAAAGCAACTGTTTGGAAGAGAGTTCCATAATTTTGCAGTCCGGATGACTGAATTTTTGTCTTGATGAGAACTGTAAGAGAACCTAAAAGGTTCTGAGCAGCGGAACAAGAAGTGCAAGTTCTCCTGAACATTGACCGTGAAAGTATCTGTACAAGAGGGATAAGGATGCGACATTGCGTCTGTGTGAGAGGGTATCCAGCTTTGCGGCCAGAGAATGACCGATGGCAACACAGATTCTCCTTTGAATGCGGTCTAGAATATGCAGGCAATGTTACGATGCCTATGTTACTTCGACCAATTTAACAATTGAATCATAAGAGAATTGGATTTAGTTTTAATTGTAACATTGATAAAATAGTAACATATGATGCAAATTGCTTACAGATTTGCAGCGTTCAACTTGGAAAGCTCTACTGGCTGTCGTTATGACTCCCTCGCTGTGCATGATGGGCCGAATGGCACTGATCCTGTGCTCGCCACCTTCTGTGGTTCTTTAGCTACACCAGTGTCCACCACTGGAAACAGCGCCTTTGTAATGCTCACCAGTGATAGTGCAGTGACGACGCATGGATTTTTTGCCAACTTTACTGCTGAGGATCCCCCACGTAAGTGTACTACGCTGCATTTCTACAAAACCCACCTGTTCCTCTAAATATAAACGCGTTCTCCAGCTGCTTAGATACGACACGAAATTTGTTTGACTGATAAGGAATACATCAGTGTTTTTTTGAGTCGATACTTCAGTCTGAGAATTTACCTCTACCATGAAAGCATCATTCTAAGTCGTTGAAATTATACACATTTTAACCAAACCATGTTGCGGTGATGTTAATACACTTTTAGTGTTACAATTGTTCTCTTTTATACTGATTTGATCTTATCTGTGTTGCAGAAACATGCTCTCCAGAGGAGTTCACATGTTGGAATGGAGACTGTGTCAACACGACTCTTTCCTGTGACGGCACTAAGGACTGTTCTGATGGAAGTGATGAAATCGATTGTGGTTGGTTTTTTAGTTATTTTCTTTACTCTGAAATTGTAGCCGCTGTATATGAACCCTGAACTTAAAATTGATGCTATGTAAAATAAGACATACAGTGACCAACCGATATGCTGATTTTAGGGTGAATTGTTTGTTGACCAAGGCAGCATAGCAATAGCTTGTTAGTTCTGTATATACATTTACTTTGATAAATTCAATTGTGGTCTCCACAATGGAATACTTCGCCATTTGTTCATATCGGCACATGTTAGGACTCGTCGAATGCTGACATCATAAAGTTCTACAAGGCAGTTAATTCGGAGTATATCCCGAGAATGCCAATTTCCACCAAAGTAAACAACCCCAAATAATCTATGTTTTCCATGTGTTCTATCATAAAAAAAAGAAAAATTTTGGAGGCTTGCCTTTAATTTGATCATTTCAAATAATAATGTATGAAACATCTGAAATGCAAATAGAATAACAAGATAATGTTTATGTCTTTCTACCTTGCTGGGAGTTCAGCCATATATATTTTTTCATGTTTGGTTTACATGTGTACCAGGTGGCGCGAAATGTGGTGTTCCGGCTATATCGCCAACCTTCCCCGTAACCCGTATCGTCGGTGGTAACGCTGCCCAGCCAGGAAGTTGGCCTTGGCAGGTCTACTTGTTGCGTTATGGCTCATTCTACTGCGGTGGAAGTCTCATCCACCCCATCTGGGTCCTAACCGCTGCACACTGTGTGGACTATGAGTACGTATGGGTTTATTTATTTATTTATTAGACTTTCCAATGCAACATCAAGTAGCATGAAGGAGAGACAAAACAGGTTCATATTTGCACCTCTGCCAGTTGTCTCTCCACATACAAAATACATGAAAAAAACAGTAATGATACAAAAATAGACAATTTAAATGACATCATACTATAACATATTAAGATATATAACAATATAGTGACAACTATAGGGCAGTTATCGCGGCCTTGTGGCCATAAAGTCGTAAAAAGATATCCAGCTACATGCAGCATCGGCGTCATAGACCGCATTAAACCTGTTATGTAAATGTATCATCAACTGTCTTTTGAAGGTATTCAAGTGTTGTGGCTGAGAGAAATTTAAACCCAAAGTTCTCAGACTGACATGCAAACTTTTCATATCGGGTTATGGCACGCACGACTAGATCTATAGAAAGAAAGGCTGTAGAAGATAATTATCATGGTGGAAATCAGACGACGTGCAGTATGTGGGTTTGCCATTGGGAGAAACGAGAGTAAAAATTCTGTCTCAACACAGCTGCAGGCCAACTCACTCTGGCACATACACTTATAGCATCCATTACATTAATATTGAAAATATTTGTCGTAATCCTTTGGATTCACCAGTCCACTCGACCTGCATTGATGTATTTCAGTCTTCCGCCCGGCGGTTACGAAGTAATCCTTGGCAAGTACAACAAACCCGAATACATCACCGACTCAACAGAACAACGAATACCTGTTTCCAAGGTACGTTATTTATTTGGCATTAAAAAATGGTATAAATACCATGCGGTCCTTTCATCTTTGGACGCATATTCATGCTATAAAAAAACATTGAGGCTGCATACATGTCAGATGTCAGACTTATGGTTCGGGGATGGGGATGGGGGGGCGGAATTTGGAGCCGATAGTCATCGAAAATTTGGAGGTCAGTATCTTTACCCTTCAAAGTTTTCACTATTGGAAGAATCTTCTAGTAACTGCAGAAAATGCCGTTTTAGACGTTCAATTTAAAAAAAAATTCAGTGGGAAGAAACCAAACCAAACTCCTGGCTACGAGCATGAGGGCCCCAAATCCTCACTAATCAGGATTACTTTTACAGGTTATCATCCACAGTGGATATAGTCGTAACCCGACAAATAAGGACCTGGCCTTACTGAAGCTGGCCCGACCGGTGACACTGAACCAGTACGTGTGGCCCGTCTGTCTTGTCTCGGGCCCAGGAGCCGATCCGCCCGAGGGAACCAGCTGTGTCGTTACGGGATGGGGAAGTACCCAAGGCAAGTTATGCTCAGAAAAGCCTGTCTTGTTTAGGTAATAGTAACCCAACCATAACTTCCCATATTGGCCTCTGGCCAGCTTTTTAAAAAAGCTTTCTTGTTTAGTCAACGTTGCATCCGAATTATGCCTGTTGCAGACGACATTTATTTTCGACATAACATTTGGAAACTACAGACGGAGTGTTACTTTTATATATGTCCGAATACGACCTTATAAAAGACGTTCTGCCGAAGTGCTCAATAGGCACAATACATTACGGGCTTCGCGTGCAGTACGTTCTGCCGACGCGCTCATGGGTGTTGATTCTAGAGTATAATATTGTCCATCTCGTCACAATATCAGGTACAGGGAACGAGGACGTGCTGAAACAAGCCCGCGTCCCATTGGTCAGCAATGACAAATGTAACAACGCCCCTGCGTTAGTCTTAGCTGGCCGAATCACTGAGTTTATGATGTGCGCTGGTTACTACGACACTGGCGGACATGATACCTGCCAGGTAAGTTGGAAAATACTACATAGAGACAAGGACATGATTCTGATCTGTGGATCATTATGTAAGGTAAGAGTAAGTAAGGTAAGGTACAGCAATATCCAATTGGTCAAAACTATTAGACAACTATTGGCCACATAACTGCACCACGTATATATATATCCAATCACAAATTGGTTCAATTTTTTTTACATAATAATGCTAATATAGATATCTCTAGGTAACAACGCATCTAACTAAGGTATGTCGATACTTACTTTCAAACGATCTCTTCTATGACATGACCCCCATTGCAAAATTATAGGCATGAAACGAGTTTCAATGTACGCTCGTACCACGTGTACCGCAGATGTAATACAATGAGAATACAGTTATGCAAATCGTAATACCTTTCATTATACAACAAAGGTAAGAAAGCCTTATGTTACTTTGTATATGAACATACAAGCATACACCTGAATCCACGTCTATCTTGCAGGGTGACTCTGGCGGCCCGCTCGTCTGTCCGGCGGCAGGACGGTGGATCCTGCACGGTGTGACCAGCTGGGGAGACGGGTGCGCTCGACCCCAGTCCCCTGGAGTGTACGCCCGGGTCAGCTCCATGCTCGACTGGGTTCACAGGACAATGGACAACAATTAAAGCAAAGACGCGCACCTACTTGGCCTGTTATTCCTCCGTAGATTCACATGTAACCTTTATACTTGTCATATTCAGCAACGCATATTAGCAAAAGAGTGCATCTAGAGTGAACTATTTCGTGCTGTACGAGTATTCAGTATGTTTATTGCGTAGCCATCATGTAACATCATATATATCCAAGAGGCGTGAGACGGTAAAAGTCTAACATTCTTAGCCTTTAGTTTCTATGAGTATGGATTCATGTAACAATGTAACCATTGTGCGATAAAAGTCATTATATATATTATGTAGTAAACAATTATGTAATGAAGTTGGGTGAGCACATAGTACATCGTTGGTTTTCTAGCATGACTGACACTGGAAAATTTAAAATGTTTCTCGATAATGATAGAATATATAAGCTACGGAAGGTAATAGAATAACAAACATATAGAAAATTACAATACATTTCAGAATATAGAGATTTCGGCACTATTGTAAGATACCTTTTTCTGTCTTAAAAAGGCAAATAGCCACATGGACAAATCAATGCACGATAGCCCACAAGGTATTGAGTAGATTACAATATTTGTGTGCACACATTCAATCTTCCCAACAAAGTATACCGGTCATGATGATAGGGTTCTCACCTAGTTTTCTCAGCCGAGTCAGTAGAAGATTTCCTCCAAACTCAATGGAATGTTTCTCCACAAAAACAAAGTTTGAGCTGCGTTCAGGCCTATTAACCTCATTGGTTCATGGTAGATTTTACAAAACTAACCGTATTTCATCATTTCCTCAAAGAACAAAATAGTTTGTTCTATGAGGAATCATGATATTGGCTTGTGGATAGGAGAACTCTTTCAACATGTCTGCTCACGGACACTGAGAAACATACAACTGATGGCTGTAGTTCTGTAACAGTGGGGGGGGGGGGTATAGGCGCTACCAACTGACGCATTTTTCCCATATAGAGTATGAATGAATTCTTATATGGAAAAAAAGAGATAAGGACAATTTATCTCATTTTTCCCATATAATGTTTCTGTGGTAAAAAAAAAAAATACACAACCTTTCAAAAACTACTTATCACAACTTTTGCATGAGAAAACCAGGCAGTGGCCGGAAGATGGGGGTCGGCCAAATCCGCTAATATTTTGTATATAGGATAGGTATGGGGAACTATCACCAGCCATATGATTAAAACCCTCCAGCTCTTTTTTGTTATGGAGTTCTGGAACCCCCCATGGAGACCCTCAATAATTGGATAATTTTTGCCTGGAAATTCACGAAATTCGGATCGCTCTCGCTAGAGTTCTATGAAAGATTTTGATATGCGCTTTTGATTTTTACATTTCTTCATGTCTCTAGTCTAACCATACGAAATGTGAAACTCTGGCATTGAATTTTAAAGGGTATGCCTGGGGGTTATCGGAACCATTGAAAGCAGACTTTGAACGTTTTTGAATATTAGTCATTTTTAAAGGGCCATTTGTCACACAATCTGCATTTGTTTGGATTGGTTTTGATTTTTCTGAATAGAGGAACATCTATTCATTAAGAAACAATCGTCGTTTATTTGGGATCTAAATATTGTGAGTCGTGGGAAGAGGCTAATTATGGGGTATTTTAGCTTCCGAAAAACAATAAATCAAGCAATTTCGCTACCATAATGCAAACGCTATTGACTGGAATATTGTCTTTTTGAATCAGAAGTATGCAGGGGCATGGTGACTGCTAAAATAAATGCAAAGGAAGTGATATGGGCTCTGCATAGGGGTTCTTAGTATACTTAAAATAGGTTTAACTGATTTATCATGTGAATAATGCTAACTGTCCCACTTTACATTATTGGATTATCCGGCGCACTTGCAGTTTGTGTATAGAAAATTAGTTACGAATAACTGGGGCTCTGCATGGGGGTTAATGTGACACCTTTCACATATTTTGCTTGTGTGTAAATTAAGTGTGTAATTTTTTTTACACTATACTAATTTTATTTATACGTGTGTATACAATTTGATCATGACACACACATAAAACACAAGTAGCACACCAGAACAAGTTTTACTGCTGGATCAGAAGTCTTTACGGACATGATGACTGAAACTAGAGTTCCTCATCTCCCACCTTCGCCATAAAATATTAACCTAACGGCTGGCGAATTATAAGTGTTTGTCTTTCTAGCATTTTCTCATGAATTATGCAAATGAGATCCACATAAGTTATGTTTGATGTTATTTCAACTTCAATAAACTTATAAATGCCGCAAGTATGAAAGTACCAGCATAAACCACGAGCACTAACATTTTCATTAATTGTTAAAATTAAGTCTCCATTTTCATAATTGATATATGGCGATGTTCCTCTCGTTCTTACATACACGTTACAAGTTTGAATAATTCTATCATGGAAGGTGGCAGGTTTATAGATTAATAATGCAAATCATATCAGATCCATAAACTCATGTCAAGCGTCATTAAATCTACCCACACACGAAAAATGACGACGACGTGTCATTGACGTTCTTGAGTTATCCTAATATTCTTTTAACAAACTCTCCTGCAGTTCAAAAAAATCTGCTACATAATAGGCTCCACTTTTTCAGAGGAGCCATTTACCACCTAAAATTCCTTTTCCTGGCATGTCCAGATCAGGAGATATCAAACTGGAAATCCCACTGCAGTACCTAAACAAGCTGCCAGGGGGGCTCAAATCTAATCATTTTCAGGTCACATCAATACCCTCTTTTAAAATACCATGGCAAGACAATCCACCCAAGTCTTCTCAAGTTATCGTTTTGACACACACACGCACATACACACATACACGAACGTTACCGAAAATATAACATTCTTGGTGAAGGCGATAAATGCAAAGAAAGTGATATAGACTCTGCACGGGGTTTTTACAATACTTTTAAAATTGGACTTTGCATCTGAATGGTACTAACTACCACGCCCGCCATTAGCTGTTACCGTAAACCCTATACACAAGCGTTAGTAACTTGTAGTCTGTGTGTAGACAAAGGGGTTCACAATACTGTACCTTTGGGCTCGGCATAGGAGTTAGCATATATATATGGAGTTTATCAATGAGCGTAGAGTTATTGTGCAAACACCAAAATACGCAAGAAATGATCAAGTTGTAACTGGTATAGTGCATGGCCCCTACTTAGCCCCACAGTCACTTGGGGTAGAATCCTTGATATCATGGGACCCTCCCGAGTTGAAGGCTGGGCAACTGGACGGTCAATGTCAGACAAATTGAAGACCTATCTGAATTACATTTCAACTCAGGGAGCTAGGTCGGGCCAGAAAGCTGATGTTGTACAAGTGGCTCAGGAGATGCCAGGCTGATGGGAAGCTGTATAGGCCGTTGTTCCAGCCAATTTAGTGGCGCACAGGAAAGCAGACTACAAGCCATTTGCTGGACTGTCGGTATCAGAGACAGCAGGAAAACACAGAATGTGTGGCCACTGACATAAATAGGTGATATAAAAGGAAGGCGAGTGGCAGGCACTGTAAAAGACAGCGTATGCTAGCATTCACTACAGTCACCCGGTTATAGTGAAAGACACCGATTATAATCTCGTGCGAAATAGCAAAGGCCTCAAATCATTAAAGCTGAATGAACTGAAGCTCAAGTTATTTACAATTACATACAGGAATTGGAGACCACCCTAGGGCTGGCACACAGACATGTGTAAATTGATTTTTGTATTTTGTTGGAGTTTTGTTTCATAATGTGTCCATAATATGACAGATTATACTCAATTTGTCAAGTTGTTACAATGCATGACCAGCATTCGTTGCACTTACGGTAGTAGCAAAACTAAAAGTAAAATGTCATTTTTATCATTATTCATTTCCACAGTTTTCAAAAGTACAGCTACATACAATTATCTCAAGATTGGATCTTTGCCTTGACCTTGTTATGGTCTTGTTTCTAGATAATGCCGCTACATGCTCTGTATCCATTTAGCCAGGGTATCACATGGTATCACATTTTGAAGGCCTGATAACTCCAATGTCTACAAAACATAGCATTTTTATTGAGTACAACATAGTAGATATATGAAGTTATTTAGTAATTTATCTAGTTAAGGACATATTAGAGAGCGCAAGCACATGCATTTTAATCTAGAAGATTGCATGATAAATGCCAGTACAAATATCCGTTGAAGAAAGCTAGACATCTAATATCTAGCTATGACTATGGGCTTAGAAGAGCTATCAGTGCGAGGAAACGCGTTGGGCAGAAACTTGTTATGGTGTGCTACTTGTGTTTTTGTGTGTGTATGTCAAAATGATATAAAAATTACACACTTATAAAGAAACAAGATACGAAACAAAATATGTGAAAGGTGTCCCATTAACCCCCATGCAGAGCCCAAATTATTCATTACTATTTTTTCTATACACAAACTGCTAGTAATATAATCCACTAATGTAAAGTGGGACAGCATTATTCACATGATAAATCAGTTAAACCTATTTTAAGTATACTCAAAACCCCCATGCAGAGCCCATATCACTTCATTTGCATTTATTTTAGCAGTCACCATGCCCCTGCATACTTCTGATTCAGAAAGACAATATTCCAGTCAATAGCGTTTGCATTATGGTAGCGAAATTGCTTGATTTACTGTTTTTCAGAAGCTAAAATACCCCATAATTAGCCTCTTCCCACGACTCACAATATTTAGATCCCAAATAAACGACGATTGTTTCTTAAGGAATAGATGTTCCTCTATTCAGAAAAATCAAAACCAACCCAAACAAATGCAGATTGTGTGACAAATGACCCTTTAAAAATGACTAATATTAAAAAACGTTCAAAGTCTGCTTTCAATGGTTCCGATAACCCCCAAGCATACCCTTTAAAGTTCAATGCCAGAGTTTCACATTTCGTATGGTTAGACTAGAGAGATAAAAAAATGTAAAAATCAAAAGCGCATATCAAAATCTTTCATAGAGCTCTGGAGAGAGCGATCCGAATTTCGTGAATTTCCAGGCAAAAATTATCCAATCATTGAGGGTCTCCATGGGGGGTTCCAGAACTCCATAACAAAAAAGAGCTGGAGG